TGCAAGAAATTTAAACAAACAATGTTTTCGTTAGATTATTTTAAATAAGTAGGTTAGAATAATTTAATTTCTAACACAAGTTTAATTTCAACACAGATGAAAAATTCATAGAAATTATTTAAAAATAATTAATATAAATAATGGCGATAAACGAGGACACTGTTAACCTTATGGAGTAAGTGAATGATGTGACCTATATACTATAGACACCCACTTCTATTTTCAATTCAGAAGTTTCATTCCTCAAAACCTAGAAGGAATGCCTCGTTGTCAGTAAATAGGTTCTCCAATTCTCTACATTCACCTTACGGAACGCTGTATTATTGCTCCTATTTTACACTCGGTACTTACGGTCGAACCGACCCAAATGAGCAACTGTTATAAATCATAACAAAGCTACATTGTAACTATTTTACGTAAAAAGAGTAAAGTTACAGTCTATAATATACGTCCCACTGCTGGGCACACGCCTCTCATTTCTTAGAGGATTTTAGGGCAATTGTCTGCCGCGCTGCCCCAATGCGTGTTAGTGAACTTCACTTGTCTTCGAAATTTTTTCTTATTTCTCAGACTCACGTGGTAAATCAGCACTTAAAATTGCAATTAACAATTTCATTGGTGCCAGCGGGGGTCAAACTCGTGTTGATCGCGTACTGTAAAATTTTCAGCGAGCGTTTAGCCCCTGAGCTACCAGTGCAGCTAGCAGCTAGCAGTGCTAACACGGCTCTTAGCTCAGGGGCTATTTTACGTATACATAGATTTTTTCCCATTATTTATTAGCCCGGAATCAGTCAATTACAGATCACCTCTCAGCTCAGCTCAGCTGGGATAATACCCTTCATTGCTAGATCACAGATTCTTGTTTCACACCTTTGATACTACTGCCCATCACTGGACTGTGTGTTTCAGTGTCTGGGATACAACAAGGTGATTAATCCACTAACTGTAATTCATAAGATCTTCTCGGCGACTAACGACAACGACGACGAAGTGCGAGTCACGGTGCGAGATAAGGCGTAATGGAATCTATGTACATAGATTCCATTGGAATCTAGCAATGATGGGTATTATCCCAGCTATGAGAGGTGATCTGTAGTTGACAGATTCCGGGCTAATAAATAATGGCGCGCCGCGAAAAAGCTAGATTTTTATTGCTAATATCCAACAAAATCAAAATTATTCTGGAAATTTGTATAATACATAAGTTTAAGAACACTAATCTTTTTATCCTTCCTCGTTCAGCAGAGATAGTAATATGTTATTCAATTGAACATGTCCCTCATACTAAAAAAACACGGAGAGTTTAAAGGGACACAATTAATCTCACAAATTGTTACCTTAATATAAATGCGATTACTACTCGAATGACGACGCATATTTATTTAAGTCTTGTTTAATTTAACATGCTGTCAAGATGCAAACATGATGTGTAACACATTGATTTTTGGCTTGTATATTAACATAATAAGTTATTTCAGATTATGTTTTCCTTCCTCTCGGTGGGATGGGGCTTACTTTCTGATATCGATATTGAAAGCGAACGTTTAAGAGCGATTGGAGGGCAGAGGTTCGCGATATGGGCACTAGCAAGATTAGTGGGATTGAGAAAGTACAAAGGTGTTGTCAGTTATGCTAGGATTAAGGATGTGACCAATCTTCCCAAGCCAAAACTACCGGTGACTCTCAGCCATAGCGTTAGCCAGGATGGTGCGCTCGATTCCCCCGACGCGGAAGCTTTTATTGACTGTGATGAGCATTCGGAAGTGTTTACTAATGCATTGAACGGTAAACAACATCAAAGGGTCGATTCATGGTACTCTGTAAACTCTAGAAGGAGTGCATTTTATAGTACAAGGGGCTCTGAGTACCACAGTGTAACTAGTGGAGGCTCGGAAATGCGATCACCCGTTCACGCATGTATGCACGGTCCAGCATCGTACCTACCGTCCTTAATGTCTCAGTTGCCTTCACATTGGGTACATGAGGATGGCGAATTCGTTATGGTTCATGTCTCATACCAGGCATATATTGGAGAAGATTTACTGTTTGCACCACGGTCGCAAATGTCTGATGGAGTCATGTGGATGCTTATTATCAAAGCAGGCATCACAAGATCTCAAATTTTATCTTTTCTGCTCGGCATGGGTGAAGGTAATCATGCAGACACTAACAATGAGCATATCAAGATGATTCCTGTGAGTGCATTTAGAATAATTCCTGAAGGACCTAATGGTCACATGACTGTTGATGGTGAACTTGTTGAGTATGGTCCAATTCAAGCAGAAATCTTCCCAAATATAGTTCACCTTTTAGTACCAGATGCAAAATAATATTTAGGTACCATTAAACAAATAGGAACATTCTTCAATGACTGATAATTACCTGCCACTTAACCGAGCCTATGTATGAGAGCAATAAAAGACATTAATAAAATGTTAAAGGTTATTGCTCCATCTCAGCTTGTTTTAACGTCGTGTACTATAACAAGTTTTATTAATGTACAATTGTATGAACCATTCCATTAATGTTGTGATTTACGTTTAAATAAGTTATTTTTTATGCCTTGGTATAAGTTATACTTGTGATATTTTGTGTTAAGTTGTTGAAAAATCACATCTAGTTACTAGTCAAATATGTCAAGATTAAAAAAATTGTGCCAAATTTTATCACACTCTAAATTACTTACACCTTCAAGTGTTGCCAAGGAATTGATCATTTTAAGTATATAAATTTTAGATTCAATTGTTTCCAATTTGCATAGAATAAATATTATTTTTATTGTCATTTAATGTCTTAAAAACTATGTACTAAAAATCATGTGCAATAACTGCTGACAGCTATAAATTAATGTGAAATGGAAAATGAAATCAATAAAGTTGTGGCAATATTCCACTATTTCTATACTGAGACCAGACTTGCGTTATTTAATATACTGTTTAAGTCTTTAATTACAGTTCTTGCTAATTTAATTTATGAACTGTATTGGTGTATGGATGCATCAATTTGTTAGATAGTTTTGAATAGGTTTGGGGTATGTGATTCTACTTAATATATTTAGCAGTATTAATTTATTAAGGATATATTTTAATGTTTCTGTGATAATACATACCTATTTTTGCCATAATATCGTGGCTTGTTTGCCTAGTGTTGCTAAAACCCCAGTTGCATGCTTTTAATCTATTATTGTTGATAATAATGTTTTATATTAAGAAATTTACAATAAACTATGGTTTCATATTTTTCCAATAAAATATGTTTTTTATAAAAATAATGAGATAATTTTTCTAAGTACACAAATAGAAATCATAGAAAAGTAGGCACAAGAAATGTTGCACACTTAAAATAGGGATTTTATTTATTTGAATCAGAAGGATGTACAGTAGAATTGTGTTAATCGGTACTAATGAAGGCATATGTAAGTGGAGAATAATGATAATTGAAATGTATTAATATAAGTTCAAATTAATCTGTGAAACTCTGTCCAAGCAATAACAGGTAAATTAATTTAATTCCTTTCCTATGTCACAGCATCACATCTTATAGCTTTCAATCAATTTAGATAAAAATTTAAGAAAATTTTATTTTGATTTAGATCTCATTAAGTAAAATAATCATTAAGTAAAGTAGAATAATATATATTTTTTTAATTATCAACTAGATAATCTTTTGAAATAATTATGAGTGCTTCTTAAAATAACAACTTTTAAATAATCCACCAACAGCAACTACCAATATTGTAAACCCTGCTTTATGTATGTAACACTTTTTTAAATTTATCACAATTATTTTTATGTTAATCTGTATTAGCGGGAATAGAATGTCAAAAGTAGTGTAAGTTTAGACAATTAAAAAAAGGACAGAGTACATTCAGTTTCAGTGATGGTGTTGACAAGATCTCAAACACTTGATGGGATGTGCCGATTAACAAGATCCTACTAGGTAGGTTTGAAACAAAACCTTTCATAAAGTACCTATGTATATTAGGATATGTTCCTGGGTTCAAACATAGGTATAATATATTCAATATGTTATTAATTTTAAGTATTAAAGGCATTCCATTGTCAATAAATTTAAAAATTTAAAGTTTATGAAATTGTTACTAATAAATAATATAATATGTAGTGGTTTTTGCTTTTAAATAACATTCCTTCTTGAAAATCAAAGATATTTATTTAATAAAATTATTGATATACATCATACATTTACTCTTACATCATAAATTTACTCATTGTTATAACCTATACTCTGTTCATTTTAGCATGATATTTTATATAAATAACTTCTACCTGCACTGAATTTTTCATTCTTTAAGCTCTACTGTTTTATTTAAAATATCAAGTCCACCTTATCTCAATGAGTCTTCAACTTTTCGGCCTTACTGTAAAACTTTAATCGGACCAGTGAAAACCTTTCCACTTTTTTCTAAAATTCTAACATTATTTAACCTGTGGTGAAGCTTTGAGACTCTTTAACTTATGTCTACGAACATTATTTTCCCCCTCTAATTTTTACATATCCTTTTATGTATACTGGTTTGTATTTTAGTCTAAAAATTATATTTTAGATCAAAATATTATTTATAGCACAAAAAAGAACTATAAAATGCAGTAGCATTTTCCTGGTAATGTAAAACTGCTTTTTGTTTTCTCTATAAATTTGTATATTTAATTGAGTTGTTTTGATTTGTTGTGCAAAAAAGATTATTGTATTGTATAGTTTGTGCATTTGATAGTCTATAACAAAGGAATTATCTGTTAGATAGTACATTTTTATTTACAAATATCTTATGCCAAAGTGAACAGGGTTTAAGTTAAAAAGACAAATGTTTCATGCTTATATATCAACAAGCATGATATTTGTCACATATGGGGGATATTAATTACCACTCAAAGTTAATATAACATAAAATTGTTATTAATGTACCATAAACACAGTACAGTGAAGTTATGATAAACTATTTAAAGAGCCTATTATATATAGGTAAAGAGCAATTTAACATATTATCTCAATTTCAAAGAGTCTAGGCTGTCGAGTAAATTTTGTACCTCAGATTCTACTTGTTCTCTTGTACTGACACGCTCTAATCTCTCACGGACGGATTCTAGATCTGCAGAATCAGCTCTTTGAATTTTCATATATTTTAACATCATCTCCACAACTAAACAAATTTCACCAATAAGCTGCCTCGTTTCCTCATAATTACCTGCACCACTTGGACGCATTTGAATCAGTTTTAATTTGCTTTGGGCCAACTGAATTGGATTACGGCCATTCTTATCATTAGAACTAACATCAGTTCCTGCATCCAACAACTCTATGACAACTGGTATATGATTTGTACAAGCAGCAAGATGCAGAGGAGTGTTACCGAGGGTATCCTTTATATTAGGGTTAGCACCATGACTTAAGAGTATTCTAACGACATCAACATATCCACGGCAGGCTGCCAAATGCAGTGGACTTCTTTTGTGTTCATCAGATGAATTGGGGTCAGCGCCAGACAGGAGGAGTTTTTCTACAAGTTCGGAATTATTTGTAGATGCAGCGAAACGTAGCTTCTGATTTCTTGATGAGCAAATTGAACCACCATATCGGTATTTAATTCTGCAATGTCTAGCCTTGGTAGTACATTTTATTTTACCGATTAAATCGTGACGTTCGCCGAAGAAGTCTTTTGCTATCCGTCTACTACCAGACACATCAAGTGTATTGGCCAATGGATTGAATTCTATAATACATGGAGTGTGATCTATGTTTTGATTATCACTACTTTCATTACTTGTGTCAACTCCGGAGTCTGCCATTATATATAAATTCCGAACTTATCCGTTCATAAATCTCATTTTTAAATAAACACGTATGGTTAACAATTAGGAGTGAGAATGAAATGAAAACAACAAACAAAACTTCTACAATTACAAATAAAAATCTAGAATTTTTGAGATATGTATATTGTATATGTAAGCAGATTTGTCATTTAATTGAAAACTATTTTTTTTATTAAGATATTTGGCTCGGATGCTTGTTCTTTAAGCCACTTCATTTCATTCGAGATATTCGTTTTTATAAATTTTCAGTATCAAGTGTTAATAATCCTTTATAGTATATAGTACACTGCTTCACAATATGTTAATGCGTCACATTGCGTAGACTCTAGGAGATTTTCAACCCCCCTACCCCAGCCAATCGACACAACAAATTTGGTTTATGTATATTAGTAATTTTTGAGCTTATCACTGCATTTAATGCATTTTTAACGATGGTGCAATTATATTCAAGCTAGGTGCAGTTTTTTTATACTGCAAAAACTACCCAATTCTAATTATTTGAAGTAATATCGACATTACAAGGTGAGCGATCTTTAACTATTTTTTATTTCTAAATTGAGACAGCAGGCAGACCTTATCTTGAGATTCACATCACCATCGGAGCATTTGTTTCAATGTCTCCACTAATTGTTCACATGTGCAGACATTTAATACACAAAATTTTACCCCTTTTTCATATCAAAATCCACTTCAAACCATTATTTGAATAATAATACAAAAGCAGCAATCCACCGCCGCGCCGAGCAAGTTAGCTTGCTACCTACATATTTATTTATGTATGGAGCAAGTTCCCGCAAAACTACTCTATGTGAAAACAATAATCTGTGGTAAACGACTTTTGTATAACTAGCTTTACAGCTCTGGGTTCTAGCCCTTCTGAGCCTGAAGTTACAATGTATATAATTATCTTTCATAGTACACTGCTTCACAATATATCTATGCGTCACATTGTGCAGCCCTTGGGAGATTTTGCCGGTAACTTGAGTCAGCAGACAGCCGACAGTTGGCGATGGTATCTCAAACCATCAGAGCACTTGTTTCACCGTTCCTATTAATAGTTCACATGCGCAGACACTTAATACACAAAATCGAACCACTTTTACATACCGAATTCCACTTCAAACCATTATTTAAACAATAAAACAGGAGCAGCAATCCACTGTCGCGCCGGGCAAGTTCCCGCAAAACTACTCTATGAAAACCATTAATAATCAGTGGTAAAATTTTTATTTATTTCCGACGATATAATCACTGAGCAAAGAGTATAGCAGAGTATAGTAACTGGACCTTTGAGCATAGAAAATAGAGGAGATGGCAAGCCTACAAAAAAAATCGTGTCTAATTGAAACTGTAAATGGCGGACGCTGTAAGCTCCGCCCATTTTTTAGTGATGTGAAGTCAATCAACTTTTAAAATTTAGTAACACCTAAATGTATTTTTATTTATTTTAAATATGCAAAATTATATTTTCTCTAACGATTAGGGAGGCTAGGGGAATTTCGCGTGAATTTAACCGCCGGATGATTGCTGCTCCAGTTTTATCGTTTAAATAATAGTTTGAAGACGATTTTGATACTTAATGCACGGATAGCAACTCGTGCTTGTAAGTTGTAAGTTAGCAAGCTAGTGGGTCTGACTTCATATTATACAGAATAAGCTTTACTTCTGGGCTAATAAGTTACTATCTAAAGCCAGGATGGTTAAACAGGATAGAGTTCTCTTTTTGAGCTAGTAGCACCCACCACCATTTTTTTCTACTATTCTGGCTTGTATATATATATATATATATTACGTTATTAAACTACTTTCTTCTTTGGCAACCTAAAAATGATAGAACAGAATATAATGATTTAGATCTATGAAGCTGCAAATAATATTACAAATTAAACAACACCATGGTTATTATAAAAGGTGACTTAAGGTAAAATATAGATAAAAATATGCTTAACATTTATGTATATTGCATTATTAGAAGGCACGGATGGGCTAATATATACAATATATAACTAAAGAATATATAATAAAGTTAAGTAATAATGTCCATAGTCTCTGAGGTATTTGCATGTTTGCCTACACAGAGAGATTACTTACAGGCGCTAGATTGTACTTTATGTAATCTTTGTTACTTTGCTTCACTTTTATTATGTAGGTACCGTAGGTCCTACCTAACATGAATGTAACTGCGTTTCCGTATAATTTAGTTAATCATTTATGCTCACTGTTCAGACCCATGACACCGAAATAATGCAATGCATAACGCAAAACTTTTTCACATAATACGACAGAATAAATCAAGAAAAACCTTAATAAAGTATGTCCTTGAAAGAATTTATTATTAGCAATGTAACATCACTATTTACGAACAACAAAATTTTATAGATACACAAAGAAAGATAAGAAGTTATTAAATAACATGAATTAAAGGTTTAGGGTAAATAATTACATCCATCTACTTACTGTCGCAAAAGATATAAACGTTTTTACATTATATTTACAGCAAAAAATAAATCACTCACATATGAAATGATAGCTCGCGTGATTTTGGACTATATTTTGAGGCACAACCTCTTACACAACACTTAGTCATTTTCGTACTTTATAATGAATTGGAAAATTCACTATAAATTGTTTAAAAATTCGCAAAATTTTCAAATTAAGAAATATCAAACGGCTTTTTATAACAGCAAATTTGAAACAATAAATGGCGGAATCGGTCGCAAGGCGGGGTTAAATGAAGTCATCTTAAAAATGTTTACCAAAATACGAAACAATATTTATTATCTGTTTCATTTATAAATGACACTTAGACTTACACTTCGCTGAGTGAAAAAGAGATAGGCAGCATATTGACAGTTCAATGTCGAATATAACCATATTTGTATAACCATTAAACATAGACATAGTATCTTCGTATCTATCTACGAAATAGAAACAATTTAAGCGTATAGGTACCGTATGTACTATAAGTAGACGCGCGGCTCAACGGCGGGAGTTAAGTACATGTCAGGAAACATTTCGTTACCGCGTTTTAAAAACCTAGTAACGACATCTAGCGGAATCAATTTAAACTATGTATACGTTAGTTAATAAGAAATCTCGAAAATATTTTTCTTATAATTTTGCACAATTTTTCTTATTAACAATATTTAACAAAATTTCAAGTAGGCATGGGTAATATCACTTTTACCCTGTATCAAATCGTACCTATGTATTGGATATAAAAATCCGATTTTGTATCTATATATTTCAATATCTATATATTTGTTAATATCTTCGTTCTGAAAAGAAGTCAGTACTCAGTGTCACATTTGTGATACGCGATTTATGTACAAATTTGCATATATTGATTTATAGATATTATGTTGTATTATTTATGTAATATAAGTATTCTTAATGTATCTCATAATATAAAAAGTAGGATTTATCCTGCGACATAATGAAATAGAATATTAAATTTAATCGTGTCGTGTTTATGCCATCTAGCGTATAATATACGTACCACCTTGAGCGTTAATCAATTTTTGTTCGATAAAATCACTTTACGTTTAGAATCTAGAAGGTGGCGCTTTTACAAAGTATATTTTACTCCTTTCCTCTAAAGAATAATATTTTAAAAATATTTCATATTATTTTAATTTAGGCACTCCATGTTTAAAAATAAGGATTGCAACATTTATTTGCATTAAAATTAAACCTTTATATTTTATGCCACACTTGTGGTTATGATTAGTGGTTATATTATACCCATGAAGCAAACTTCATGATTATACCCCTAATCGAAAGGAAATTATCCCATATCTAGAAAGCGGGTATAGTTTTTCAGAATCGGTGAAATAAACTTTCCTTCATAATTTACTCAGTTTTAATTTACATACCAAAAATAACAATCTATTAAATACACAATAAGATCTAAAATAGTTTATTTTGAAAACAGTGCAACACAACAAAGTAATAATAAAATTATACTACTTGGACTGGATATTGAAAATTATGTGTTCTGTAATAAATCGTATTGTACTACTAACAAGGATTAATATTAAAAATATTAAGCGTAAGCGTATCACCTTTTCGTTGTAAAGTAGTCGTAAATCGTAATATCTGTTTTAGCTATATATTCTATCGCGCTCAAGGTTTGTTCGGTATCCGAATCAGTGTATATATTTAGATATTTTACGTTTCGGTTTTGAGTAGATATTAGATATTCTGCGATGACTCATATCAACACGGTATCGTACAATCGTAATATCTAATACATAGTTAGTTTGTCGTTGGATATATAGATATTGGATATTGTACTGATATATAGATATTGTATCTATATACGATTTGTATCGCCCACTCCTATTTCAAAGGTGTCTTGAACAGGCAGAGCGTCAATCTACTTTAAGAGCTACTGAAACACCTGCTCAAAGTAAGCAAAGGCTATTCGAACAAGCGGAACATCAGGCCGCCTTAATAGCCGCGGAAACACCTGATGAAACTCAACACAGACTCATTGAGCGAGCTGAACGTCAATCTACTATAAGGGCATCTGAAACACCAGAACAGACACAGGCGCGAAGAGATGCAAATGCACAGCTCCAAGCTGAACGTCGACAAAATTTTCAAAGAAACAATTGGTCGGTTTTTAATGACGCAGCATTCAATTATGATCCGTTGATTGATTATAAAAATCACAGTTTAGTTGTTATCGGGCTGATGGACAAAGCGTGTCGATTTTGCAGCGCTTTAAAATGGAAAGATGAGACCGCAGGCATGTGCTGTTCTAATAGCAAGTGCCTATTTATCCAGGGAGTTGAGAGAGACACAGTGTTCAAAATTCAAAGATTATTGCATGAATGTAACATTTTAGTCAAAACATTTAAAACTGCTTTAGAAAACCTACCTAAAGAGGATTATAAAGTCGTCATTCACGCAGATCGGACCCCTCGAGGAGAGCATGAAAGGCGCTACAATGCACCTTTGATAAACGAAATAGCAGCCGTAATTAGTGGTGAACAATTTTCTTCACGAGACATTGTCTTGCGAGCACGTGATGATACGTTGCAACGGGTAACCGATACACACAAGTTTTATGACGCTCTGCAATACCCATTGATTTATTGCAAAGGACAAGAGGGTTATCATTTTCAAATTCCACTCATTAACCCGGTCAAAAAGGAGCCTACTCCGAACAAAAAAGTATCATGTCTGGATTTTTATGCGTATCATATGATGTTGTGAGAAAACGATTTTAACCACTTAGCCCGGTGTAGACAATTATTTCATAAATTTTTGGTAAACATGTATGTGAAGGTAGAAAGTGAACGTCTCCGTTATATATCTTTAAATCAAAAAAAGCTGCGCGTTGAGAATTATATACATTTACAAGATGCAGTTTCTAGCGACGCCAATGTAAGCCCCAGAGATTTAAGTAAAATGGTAATTCTGCCCTCATAATTCGTTAACAGTCCCCGCTACCTACATGAGTACACACAAGACGCATTCGCCTATGTACGAACTTACGGAAGACCTGATCTTTTTGTTACTTTTACTTGGAATCCCACATGGAAAGAAATAACCGAGGAGCTAATGCCGGGCCAAAAAAGTACTGACAGACACGATTTAGTTGCTAGAGTATTTAGATTAAAAGTACAAAAATTAATGTATGTAATTAACAAAGGGAAAATTTTCGGAGAGGTGCAGTGCTTCATGTATTCAATTGAATGGCAAAAAAGAGGATTACCGCATGCCCACATTCTAATACGGCTTAAAGAGACGTTGCGGCCCAGCCAAATAGACGACATAATAAGCGCCGAGATTCCGGATCCTGAGCAAGATAAAGAATTGTATGATACCATCGTCCGAAATATGATTCACGGTCCATGTGGAGCACGAAATTCAATATCGCCATGTATGAAAGAAGGAAAATATACAAAGAAATTCCCTAAACAGCTATTAAAATAAACAGTGCACAATGACAATGGCTACCCTTTATACAGACGCAGAGCTCCAGAACATGGTGGCAGGAAAGTTACATAATTAATAGAATCAGGCGTTACTTTGCGGAAATCCATTATATAAAAGCTTTTACAAAAATTTACTTCGCAAATATCCGCGTTATAAAATAAAATGATGTGTCTTACCTAGTATGAAGAAGCACCTCCCGCCCTCCCTCAATTGCGTGCACTATCCCCGTCACCACTAATCCCAGCACCGCTACTTCCAACACCACTACACTAGGCAAGACACACCACTGACGATAATACTAAGTGAGTATCTTAGCGGTTAGCCACCGTAGAGTCTATATCACCTGAGGATGCCTCGTGTAGAGGCGAAACACGTGTCGTATTATCGTCAGTGGTGTGTCTTGCCTAGTGTAGTGGTGTTGGAAGTAGCGGTGCTGGGATTAGTGGTGACGGGGATAGTGCACGCAATTGAGGGAGGGCGGGAGGTGCTTCTTCATACTAGGTAAGACACATCATTTTATTTTATAACGCGGATATTTGCGAAGTAAATTTTTGTAAAAGCTTTTAGGAAAGTTACAATCAAATCTCGCTCTGGAGCGTTCGAAACCTTAGATAATAGCTGGATTGTCCCGTATTCGCCCATTCTATGTAAAATGTTTAATGCCCACATTAATGTAGAAGCATGTAGCTCTGTCCGCGCAATCAAGTATATCTGTAAGTACATAAATAAAGGAAGCGACCAAGCAATATTTAATCTCAGGAGTGAAGGTGAGGCAAATCCCGTTAATGAAGTACAGACCTTTTAAGCAGGGCGTTATGTCAGCAGTAACGAGGCAGCGTAGCGTCTCCTTGGCTTTCCTTTACACGAAAGGCACCCAACAGTTACTCACCTTGCTGTGCACTTAGAAAATGGAGAGCGTGTATATTTCACCGAAAGAAATTTCCAAGAAAGAATTGCATCACCGCCAAAAACTACACTAACAGCCTTCTTTCAACTTTGTCAAACCGACCTCTTTGGAAAAACGTTGTTATATTCTGAAGTCCCCCGCTATTATACTTGGAACACATCTAGGAAGGAGTGGAAACGCCGTATTCAAGGCCCGCCTGTTGCAAATTGGCCCGGTGTAAAGTCATCAGATGCCCTTGGTCGTGTGTATACCGTCCATGTAACTAATTTTGAATGTTTTTGTTTACGATTGCTGCTGCACCATGTTCGGGGTCCTACAGGATATAAAGACCTTAACACTGTCAACGGTCAGGAATGCGCAACTTATAGAGAAGCATGTGAAGCTCTGCATCTTTTAGAAAACGATAATCACTGGGATGAAACCATGGAGGAAGCTGTGCAGTGCCAGTCACCAGCCAAAATTAGGGATCTTTATGCAACTCTCATATCATCTTGCGGGCTATCTAATGCACATAAATTGTGGGACAAATATAAAGAGTACATGGCGGAAGATATTTTACGAAGGTTACAGCAAACACACGCGAACATGATATACAATGAACACATTTATAATGAAGCACTTGGAAAAATTGAAGATAAAGTAATGGCAATGGTAGGTAAAAAATTAAGCGACTTTGGAATGATAAGCCCTCAGCGAACAACCGAAAATGAACTAAGTGATGAAATTATACGTGAAACAAACTACGATATACCAGCTTTGCAGCAGCAAGTAGCCGAACTTGTACCCCGCTTGCTTCCCGAACAAAAACGGGTTTTTGACAAAGTATTAGGACAAATTGAATCTGGAAATGGTGCACTTTTCTTTTTAGATGCCCCTGGAGGAACTGGGAAAACATTTTTGTTAAATTTATTATTAGCGCAAGTACGGAAAGATAAAAACATTGCTGTGGCCGCAGCTTCCTCCGGTATAGCCGCCACGCTGCTAAGCGGGGGCCGCACTGCACATTCTGTTTTAAAACTCCCTCTAAATCTAGCCCAAGAAGAATCGCCGATCTTCAACTTTAGCAAAAATAGTGCACGAGGTATAATGCTACGACAATGCAAACTTTTAGTGTGGGACGAAAGTACAATGTCGCATAAAAAAGCTGTAGAAACACTAAATCGAACGCTCCAGGATTTGCGCAGCAATACCGATGTAATGGGAGGAATGGTGGTTTTACTGGCTGGTGACTTTCGCCAAACTTTACCTGTCATTCAAAAGGGCACAGCTGCAGATGAAATTAAAGCATGCCTCAAGTCGTCTATTTTATGGAACAAGGTGACAAAATTCAGTTTAACTACGAATATGAGAGTGCATTTGTATAATGATGTCAATGCTGGAAACTATGCTGACACACTATTAAAAATTGGCGATGGGCGGTTGGAAACGGATGCTGAGGACTGCGTTAAATTGACGAGAGATTTTTGTAATTTAGTACAGAATCATTCCGAATTAATTCCAAGCGTTTATTCAGATTTAACGAACAACATGCATGAAGACAAACGGTTATGTGAAAGGGCGATTCTTGCACCAAAAAATGAGAGCGTTAACAAAATAAATTCAGATATATTAAGCGAAGTAGGAAAAGAAATAACAGAGTATTTGTCAGTAGACACAGTTGTGGACACAGAACAGAGCACTTCATATCCCGTAGAGTTTCTAAATTCTCTAGAGTTGTTAGGTGTGCCCTCACATAAGCTTCAATTAAAATTAGGCGTCCCAGTCATGCTACTGCGAAATTTAGATGCTCCTCGGTTATGTAACGGGACAAGGCTGCGTGTGACACATCTTGGACGGAACATAATCGGTGGTACAATTATGACAGGCGTAGGAAAAGGTGAAAATGTTATTATACCACGGATCCCTATAACTTCCACAGATCTTTCTTTTCAATTCAAAAGGTTGCAGTTCCCTATTAAGCTCAGTTTTGCAATGACAATTAATAAAGCGCAAGGGCAAACGTTACAGGTAGCGGGGGTCAACTTAGAAAAACCGTGCTTCTCTCATGGTCAGCTGTATGTTGCATGTTCGCGTGTGTCAAATGCCCAGAATCTCCACATTCTTTCCCCGAATGGAAAAACATATAACATTGTGTACAGTAGAGTCTTAAAATAGTGTTCAGTTAGTTTTTTTTCCAAAATTCCCACAATCAATTAATCAGAATTCCCACAGGTCTTCCATTTCAATTCAAAATTTCCTATTTAGCTCAGTTTCTTTTCTATTCCAAATGCTGCACCTCTGACGGACCTATTATGCCTAGTTTCCTTTGAACTCAAAAGGCTGCTTCTCTGACGGATCTTTTATTTCGCTCAGTTTCCTTTCAATTCAGAAAACTGCATCTCTGACGAATCAATTTAGCTTAGTTTCTTTTCAAAAGTCTGCATCCCTGACAGATAATTATGCTCAGTTTCCTTTAATTAAAAAAATATCCCATTTCCATTTGGAATAAACAGGCTATTTTCATGTTTTCCTATACGCTGCGTTTCAAAACATTTAAATAGGCTGACGAATAAATTTTGCTCAGTTTCCTTTTAATGGCTGCATCTCTGACAAATCTATAAAACTCAGTTTTCTTTCAATTCAAAAAGCAATGGATAGTTCGTTTCCCAGTGACAATGCGGGCGATGCAGCGGGGAACAGCTAGTGTTATGATAAAATTAAAACTATGTGTAGCTTCATAATATTGAATCTACAAAAGAAAAATAGAAAAGTCAAGTTTATAATATTAGCTACCTGCCTGAACTAGGTTGAGTACCTGTGTTTCAGACATCACTTATACAATCGGTTTAATAATTAATGTAGGACACTAGATATTTAAATAATTAAACTATATTATATAATAAATAAAATAACTAAATAATAATTATTTGTTACCTACAATTAATACAAATTATTTTAGAATTTCTAACAACTTCTCTGTGTCTTCGTAATTTAATTTATTTAGAAATTCCCTTATTCTTATACTTGTACTTATATTACAGTTCTTATAACTTAGACTATATACCTTTAGTGACTTGTTGAGCTTGTTATATAGAAAGGGTTTATAGGGTTATATATTACAGTACTACAAGGCAAACTATCATTATTGAATTTCCTGTCCTGAACGCTAGCTTCCACCGAGCAAGACACTTCTTGCTCTCTCACATAAGACGAACATGTAATCACTCATATCCATAACATTAATTTAAAACGTCTTATTGTGAACAAATATGTTAAAACAGGGTTTTCTTTATATCTCACAAAGAGCAAATACTTTAAGGAACGTTAAATCTAAGTGAAAATATATTATGCTGTTTGCTGGAAGACATATTAAAACTAGCGACCTGCTGCAGCTTCGCCTAAGTAGGATCTATAAATGATCTAATGTGGATCTATTCATATTTAATATATTGAACGATCATTTATTTCATAAACTTTTATGAAATAAATGTTTGTAAGTTTTTTTTATACAAGTGGTAAAATTAAAAATTTTGTAAAACCATCTTCAATATAAATAAAATGAGAACACCATCAATGTATTCGCAGTCAATTAAATACGCATTATTAGGGATAACTCAAAAACTACAGATTTTGATTAAATTTATATGGAACCACATGAGAAATACCAGCTTTCAAATCAAAAAAAGAATTAACAAATTCGGTTCAACTAGAAAAAAGTTCTTAAGGTAACATATAAAAACATACAGTCGAATTGAGTACCTCCTCCTTTTTTTGAAGTCGGTCGAAATATAGCCTAGATCACTCCTGATATTGGTCTCTACCTGTTTGTAATATTTCATTACAATCAGTTCGGCCATTCCGAAGGTTAGCCCAGACAGATAGAGACAATTTTTTTTAGAAATGGTTACCTACTCATGCCTTACTGGCATGCCGAAAATATTTAAAATATTGCTAAATCCAATTGAGCATGCCTTCGCATTAAAAAAAAACCGGTCAAGTGCGAGTCGGACTTGCGCACCGAGGGTTCCGAACAAATCCGTAGGTATATAAGTTTAAAATAATTAAACACTATATAAGTAAAACATAAATTTTGTACTTATATACGAAGGTGGATTGATAAGTTTCCGGCCTGACCAAGAGATGGCGCCACTAGGCCTACCTTAAGGTGACATTCTATAGTACCATCCTTGGATAGCTTGTAGCTATAGTTTCAGCCCGATTGCCTTGCTAGTGTAGGTTTGAGAACACGCTGAACAAGACGCCTCTGTGTTTTTCGTAAAAATGGAAAAGCAGGAAAATCGTGCTGTCATCAAATACTTTTATTTGAAGGGGTTAACGCCAAAGGAAATTAAAGAAGAGATGGACTCAACACTGGGGACATCCTCCCCGTCATATTCAACCGTTAAGCAGTGGGTTTCCGAGTTTAAAAAGGGTCGTGTGAGCACCTCTGATGAGCCTCGCTCAGGACGCCCCGTTGAGGTCACAACTCCAGATGTGATCGAAAAAATTCATCAAATAGTGCTGGGAGACCGCAGATTGAAAGTGCGTGAGATAGCTGAGACCTGTAAGATGTCATATGAACATGTGCAACATATTTTGCACCAACATTTGCATATGGAAAAGCTCTGTGAAATATGGGTGCCGCGTTTGCTAACAGTCGACCAAAAATTGATTTGAAAAAACATTTCTACCGCAAATTTGTCATTGTATAAGCGTAATCCAAGCTAATTTTTGCGTCGATTCGTAACCGTTGACGAAACTTGGGTCCACCACTACACTCCTGAAACCAAAGAACAGTCTAAACAGTGGATTGGACCAAGGGAACCAACTCCAAAGAAGGCAAAAACAATTTTTTCGGCGAACAAGGTTATGGCTACTGTTTTTTGGGATGCAAGAGGTATTATATACATTGATTACCTTGAAAAGGGTAAAGCTATCACTGGTCAATACTACGCAGACTTATTGCAGACTGGAAACATTGAAATTGAAAACCAATTGAAAAGGATAGAGGCTTCTTAATCCAATCCTGCTGCGAAGGAGCAATTGAAAAGGATAGGGTGGTTAATCCTTTCTTCCGTCTTCTCAAAGGACCAATTGAAAAGGACATAGACCTCTTCTCAAAGGATCAATTGAAAAGGACGGAGCTAAATTCTGCCTAAGACGCCTACGTTGGGTTCGGGAACAACGTATGTGAACCCCGCAACGGAGTAACACACAAGGGCGAGAACCTCTTCCTTTTCTTCAAATAGGTTCAGACGGGGATTACGGGTCTTCCGAGGTCGTCCCGGTCCCAACGCCTTAATTCTTCAATATGTGCCGCTTTGGCGACACCAGAAGGACTGTACTTATTCTTATAGGTGAAGGATCCCTTGGGAATAAAACAGCAATTATCTTCAAACCGTTCCGTGAGAGAGTAATTACTTTCCCTATCACTTCCCTATACACTTTTCTTTCTTGATTATATTATACAGGATGGCCAAAAAGTCGTGGATCAAACGCAACTAGGGGTTAGATGAGGTCATCAGCTGCAAAAAATTGTTCTACGGGGGGTCCTTAAGGTCAACCCCTGCAGAGTTATAATTTATTTTGTGTTTTTATGAGAAAATTGACTTTTTTTACTAATTCTTACTAAAATTCGAAAAAATGTACACCTGTATCTTTTTTATAATTTTCAATAGATTGGTACAGATGAGTCCTTGCGTTAGACATACTATTTATGGTTGTTTATCGGGTGTGTTAAAGAAAATATTAAGTTTTATGAATTCTTTTTTCTCAAATCATAACTTTTGTATTTACTTCGGAACCCACTGTGTAAAAAAAATACTGTACCGAAAAGTGACCCTGTATTACAAGTTTTGGCGCATTTAATAGGGATTCTGAAAAGGTATTACACATGGCCATGAGTGGCTCTAATATCGGTTTAGGACGAAAAAACAAAACAACGGTTGTGAAAGAATTGTTTTAATAAAACAAAACATTTTACAATAAATGCTCAAAATTCCTACCTCTGACCATAACACATAATCTGCACCGTCTAATAAAATTCCTACGTAACCTACGGAATGCACCTCTGTTGTTAATAACTTGCACCCTAGCAAATTCGAGCTTTTGTCGCAACTCTTGTTCGCTATTGTTCTCTCCTTGATAAACTATTTCTTTAAAATAGCCCCAAAGAAAAAAATCTAATGGATTTAAATCGGGCGACCGGGGTGGCCACGCAATAGGTCTGCCTCGACCAATCCACCGGTTGGGGAAGCGCTCGTTCAAATGATCTCGAACTGCTCGAGCGTAGTGAGGCGGGGCGCCGTCGTGTTGCAGCCACATTTCTGCTATTCTTGCTTCTGGAACCTCAGCTTCGTTAAGAATTCGGTTTAAATTATTTTGTAAAAAATTTAAATACAGAGCACCATTCAGCCTTGCTGGCATTTCATGCAGCACCAACTGCTGGCCAATTATACCAGCCCACATGTTTATACCAAACAGATGCTGGAATCGATCATTTCTTATGATATGGGGGTTCACTCTGGAGTAAAAATGTAGGTTGTGGATATTAAATACTCCCATTCTTCTAAAATTTGATTCATCCGTCCATAATACCTTGTTGAAGAACTGCGGATCCTCTCTGTGATATCTTAGCATCTCTCTGCAAAACCTCACTCTAGGTTCATAGTCACCAGGTGCCAAAGCTTGCACCCTTTGCACGTGGTAGGCGTGATATTTCTTTCTTTTAATGATTTGTTGCACCGTCGACCTTGGAATCCCGAGATTACGGGATATTTGGCGTTGACTTATACCAGGATCCAATCTTAATTCTCTCAGCACTTCATTTCCATTTTCAAATCGCACCGCTGGTCTGCCTGCTCTCGGAGCGTGCTTACCGGGTAAGACTCCCTCCGTGTACGAATTATGTACGCGCATAAAGACCCTGTAGTCTGGAAAACGATCACGGCTAGGGTAGCGTTGACGATATTCCCTGGCAGCAGCCCGATCATTGCCGTCGCAAAAGCCATACAGATAATGCATTTCTGCATACTCCCGTTGGGTGTATTCTCTCCTTGCAGCAGCCATCTGTCCACTTTTGTAGCCAATCTGTCCGATTCCGAATCTAGTCCGATTCACACAGCACTGGATATAGGTAGGCAATCTATCACAAGTCCAAAAAACAAAGCGTAGGTCAAAGGAAAGAAACTGATCACAAGTCGTCGTAAAACCGAGAAAAAGAACACGTGCGTAGTCACAGGCAGGAAGCGAGTCACTAAAGAACACTAAACATTCTAAAGAAAGATGCTCACGCGCATCCCCCGGCCCCCACCCCGGCCGGCCCGGCCTTTTGTTTCCTAGAAAAGATATTGCTACCTGAACTGACGGGCGAACTGGCTTTTATTGACAAAGGATGAAATGGTTAGTGTGAAAGAGAGAGCTTTTGTTATTAATTGTAGTTCATGTTTATTTTTAATAGGCCTAACCGAGACTTACGGTTGGACTTATTTTGGCCTTGCTACGAATTATCGTCCTCGAAAGATATCAAAGCCATGCATAGCCATGTGTAATAACTTTTCAGAATCCCAATTAAATGCGACAAAATTTGTAATACAGGCTCACTTTTCGGTAGAGTCCTCTTTTTCCACAGTGGGGTTCGAAGTAAATTATCAAGGAGGGAACAATAGCGAACAAGAATTACGACAAAAGTTCGAATTTGCTAGGGTGCAAGTTATTATCAACAGAGGTGCATTCCGTAGGTTACGTAGGAATTTTATTAGTCGGTGCAGATTATGTATTATGGTCAGAGGTAGGAGTTTTGAGCATTTATTGTAAAATGTTTTGTTTTATTAAAACAATTCTTTCACAACCGTTGTTTTGTTTTTTCGTCCTAAACCGATATTAGAGCCACTCATGGCCATGTGTAATACCTTTTCAGAATCCCTATTAAATGCGCCAAAACTTGTAATACAGGGTCACTTTTCGGTAGAGTATTTTTTTTACACAGTGGGTTCCGAAGTAAATACAAAAGTTATGATTTGAGAAAAAAGAATTCATAAAACTTAATATTTTCTTTAACACACCCGATAAACAACCATAAATAGTATGTCTAACGCAAGGACTCATCTGTACCAATCTATTGAAAATTATAAAAAAGATACAGGTGTACATTTTTTCGAATTTTAGTAAGAATTAGTAAAAAAAGTCAATTTTCTCATAAAAACACAAAATAAATTATAACTCTGCAGGGGTTGACCTTAAGGACCCCCCGTAGAACAATTTTTTGCAGCTGATGACCTCATCTAACCCCTAGTTGCGTTTGATCCACGACTTTTTGGCCATCCTGTGGTAGCTGGTCCCGAGACTGGAACACCGCTATGAGAAATGTATCAGCCTTGGAGGAGATTATGTTGAGAAATCAAAAAAAAATTTTTAAATAACCTTGTTTTTCTTAGTCAGGCCGGAAACTTATCAATCCACCCTCGTAGTTTGTACCTTCAACCATTATTGTAAAATTTGCTTTAAAAAAAAAGTCCCGCTGGGTTTCTAGCTGGTTCTTCCTAGGACAGAGGTTTTTTTCGAACCAGTGGTAAAGTAAAAAATGACTTTCAATAAGAATTACACATGTGATCTATATCGAATAAAAAATTATTCTATTCTATTCTACTCTGATTCCCTTGCGAATCTCGAAAATTTGCGGCATAAACGGCTGTATCTTTTGATTGCGTTGGCTTAGAAGTTTGCCAAGGGACAATACTTGAGTATTTGATATAAATTTCAGCTTGATACCTCCACGCGTTCCTGACAAAAAGGGTCTCGACAGACAGACAGACAGACAGACGGAAAACAAAGTGATCCTATAAGGGTTCCGTTTTTTCCTTTTGAGGTACGGAACCCTAAAAATACGTATAGCATGATTATACGTAATTTTTTTGAAGTAGTTTAAATACACACAAGTTTTCACTAATAACCTTATTATACTTCCAATTTTTCCGTAATTTTATGTCAAACTTCAATTCGAAAAAGTTTGGAAAATCCAAAGTGCACGACTCATAACGCTCATATCATCATTCATGTCACTCCAAAAAGTCCAAGACGTATTGAAGTATAAATATTACATCCTACTTACTTTTAGTACGTACTCCTATTATTTATTCTGTGCTTTTAAAATCTATACATATAATAAAACTGTAAATAGCAGATGTCTGTACATTTTATATTTTTGTAATAAAAGTAATTGAGGGGTACTAAAAATAAGTAATTAAATACATTTCTACCATTTTTAGAATTTTCTGTCTGTCTGTCTGTCTGTCTGTCTGTCTGTTTGTTTGTTAACGTATCACGTATAAAGTACTAATTTATATCACAAGAATTGTTAAGGAAATTATTAAGTGTATATTCGGGTTACATTTAGTCTTTATTTCATTAAAATCAGTTCATTCCATCAAAAGTTATGATAAATATTCTGAAGTATGGGTAGGGAAGTATAGGTACGAATTTGCTCAACGGTGGCTTTGTTTGAGTCATCAAGTGCATTTTAAACTAATATCATATCATAAATCATAGTTAAATTATGTAAAATAATGATATAATTATGTATATCTAAAACGCAGTAAACAAAAGTATTAAAGAACGTATTAAATATATTATACAAAAATATATTAACCTTATTAACTAAATCTGAAGCACAATAGTTAACCCATTTCTTCGATAGATGGTGGTGTTGTGAAAATGTAATGCAATTGCAATGTGGTTCTGCTAATCTTTATTATATTACTCGCTGCCCTACTGCGTGTTGACAAACTCAATTTATTCTTCACCGCCGAGTACTCTATGTGGTAAATCAAATTTTAAAAGAGCTATTAACAATTGCGTTGGTTTTGGCGAGAGTCAAACTTTATTTTTTGCTTACTGTGCAGGCACTGATTTATAAGTTCTCTTGCGTTTTATATAATGTATCAATCGCGTCAATTAATCTCTTTTATTTTTAGAATTGATGTTA